GGATCCCCGCGCTGGAGCCCCGCGCTCCTCACCCTTTAGATCCCTCTATTTTTTTAACTCCCTCCCTCTCCCCCAAAAATTGAATATTGCCTTTTATACACGTTTTGTTCCTATGATCCAATTATGTCGTCGTAAATTTGGGCGCACACAGCCTCTAAGCCTTTTAGTGGACAGTTTTACGAGCCATTGATGCCTGGATCATAAAATTTATGGCCGCAGGTTTTTTTTCTTTATTTGCCCCGCATGGCCTATAAAACCCAGGCGGACCCGAGCGCGCAAAATGAAGTCCTAAAGTTTACCGTGGCTCATGTGCAGTTTGGTCATCCACGGGTAAATCTGTGGCGGGGCCGGTGGCTGGCTCAGTCCGGCGGGCTGCCCTGTCTGCGCCTGCTCCTCTTTGATCTCCCCACTGCTCTTAGCTCGCTCCTCCGGCGCTGGGCGAGCCGCCTTCTGACTGTACATCCCGGGGTTCAGAGGAGCCGCTTCGTCTCTGCCCAGAGCGTGTCCTGGAGCGGCCGCGGCGCTGCAGGCGGGGCGGTCGGGGTGAGCCCGGGGGTTGGCAGCCATGTCTACCCCGTGGAGAGAGTTGGAAGGCGCAGGCGGTGGGAAAGTGATGCTTAAGTCCAATCCGCCGTAGCAGTACCTGGATGCCTGCACCTCTGAGGCCGATCCATAGTTCCCACAAGTTTGCATGTTATAGGCAGGGATATTGGGGCTCTGCTTATAGAATGAATTGGCTACGTAGGAGCTCATGGCGGGGAGGGCCCAAAAAAATTTCTGCACCCTTTTTGATTAAGGGTGATTTGTGACTCTTTGAAGTTGAGGGGTTTTTTGTTCTCCAAAGTGCACAATTTATAGGTGGAGATATCTCTTTCTTTATCCTATGCGCTCTTCCCAAATAAGGGAGCCTTAAATAGAGTCACGTGACTCCAGCGACCACTCATAAATTTGGTTTGATGACCTCCGGGAGGTTAGTGATGGAAGCCGGCGAAACGCATCTTGATATGTTGGCAAAGCCTAACCAAAGGGGAGAGGGAATGAGAGAAACAGAGAGAAGGGGGAGGAAAAAAAATGGTTCTTTGGAATTGGGGGTAGCCGGGACAACGAGCCCACAGCGACACCTGGTGCCTACTTGGAGAAATTGCAGCCTGGTGTGCCGGCTCCCCTTTCAGACCGATGGATTTTCTACCCTGTAGAGGAGAAGCTGGCTGTTGCTGCAACAAACCCCTGAAATGGCCTTTGAAATTGTATTTAATTTTAAGGGAAGAGGAGGATGCACTGAGGGTTTTTCCGGTAACTGATAGACCTGTCCTCTTCACCCCCAGGGCCTTCCAATCTTCAAAAATGGCTGAGGGAAGGGGACTTCAGTGGGGGAGGGGGCCTGCCCAGGTGGGACGTAGAGGGGGTTTATCTCAGGTTGGAGGCCCCTCTCCCTGGATGTCCCAAAGCACTGCCATTGCTGAGAAGTTGCCTGTCAGCATGGAAAAGTGAACCAAGCCCCTGGAGAGGTAGACAAGATGCCCAGGAGAAGTGATCCTGGGTGGGCAGAACTAGATGGGGGTGGGGTGGGGTCATGAGGCTGAGAGTACTGGGGACTCTGGGGTGAGCCTGGAGGTGAGGAGCCATGGTAGCTGAGTAGACCTCATCATGTCAGAGACCCCAGAGTAGCAACAAGGTCATTTTCAACGTGTGTGTGTGTGTGTGTGTGTGTGTGTCTCTGTGTGTGTAGAACCAGACAGACACAATGGCCTGGAAGGCGGCTCTACATCCCTGTGTATGACCCTCATGTGATACCTATGTCAGATATTTCGGATAGAAAATAGATGTTCATTGTGGGCATGGAAAAGCAAGATTCAAGCCTCCACAAAAATATGGGCAGGGCAGAGGACAAGACCTGTTTTGTGCCCTATGGAGGAAAGGTCTCTGGACCAGGCTCTCCAGGGATTGAAACCCACCAGGTCCACAGGAGAGGGATTTCTGAGCTACATGGCAGTGCGGGAAGAACCTGACTGGGGGTAGGAGAAGGGGGTGGGCAGAGCAGGCGCCTGGGCAACCTTCACAGCCCATGGTCAGGGGCTATGCAGCCATTTGGCCCCTTTCCGACCCCCCTCCCCAAGCTCCAAGTCTTATTCTTTCCTGCCTGCCTCTCCCCAGGAAATCCCGCCCCTGCCAGGAGAAGCGTCCCTCCGCGCCCCCCCACCCCCACCCTCAACCCCCGCCCCACTTGCAGGCGGAGGCGCTGGAGGGGGCGCTGGCGGGGATCTGGAAAGTCTGGGAAACTCTGACGGATTTTTTCTCTCTGGGAGACCCCCTCACTACCTCGCCCTCTAGTCCACTCAGGTTTCTCTGGCTGGGCTTAGGGAGAGAAGGCCTGAGCTGGGGAAAGGCTAAGGCCTAGCTGCGCTCCCTGCCCGCGGAGTTGGAGGGGGGAAGAAAGAGTGAGGAACCAGACTGGGCTGGGGCTGTGAGGAAGAGGGAATTTTGTCCCAGCCACGTCAGGAGTCCCAGAGCAGGCGAGAGCTCAGTTTCCAGGCGTTCTTGCTCGAGATGTCCTTGAATCGCTCAGTCCCGGCGAAGGGCTCAAATCCCGCTGTCTTCGTTTCCCCTCTTCTCTCCGCCTCCGCCAGGTTTCGCAACCATCGGCCTGGCGCGGGCAGGGGGCTGCTCGCAGGGCGCCCCCTCCTCACCCCGAGAGTGGGCGGGGGAGCCCTGGTGCCCTGGATCGTGCTGCTTTTCTGGATTTGGGGGGTGGGGGTGGAGGCTTGTGGCTCAGAAGACCGACCCCAGACTATCACAGGCAGAAAGAAGGCCTGTGTGGGGCTGGAGACCAAGCCGACCAGCCCCGGCGTCTCCCTGACCCCCATCAAAATCCCAAGCAGCTTGTTTTGCGGGGTGAGTGTGTTGCTTCGCGTAGGGAGCCCAGGAGAGGCCTCCCAGCCCGGCGGAGGGGCGGCCAGGCTGGCGCCCGCCCGGCGAGGCGAGTGCAGAGGCTGGGGGCTCGCAGGCTGCAGCGGGCGCGGGGCTCCGGGAGCGGCCCCAACTTTCACCCCAAGGCAAGGCAGGCGAGCGAAGTCACAGAAACCCCGATGTAAACTTTTAAAAATAATATCAGTTTTATTAAATATTCGGGGACGGATCCAGAGGTCGGATTTATACAGGAGGGTAACACGAGGGGATTTTTTAAAATTTATTATTATTTTTCTCCTACTGGCTAAACAAACGTCATTCACTTTTTTTCTCTTTTTGTAATTTTCCCTCTCTTTTTTTTTTCCTTTTTTAAGATGGGATAGGAACACGGACGGTGCTAAACATAAATATAAATACAGAGACCACAAATACAGCTAAAAATATTCACACAGAAACGGTCACAGTTTGTAATATGCCATAATGACCCCCAGGATTCTTTAAATACAATTCGCCTGGGCTGGGCATTTGCTGGGGCAGAGGGGCCGGGCAGGGGCTGCGGGGAGGCCCTGGGGGTGTCTGTGGGGCCAAGAAGGGACAGAGCCCCCAAGGCCTGGGCGGGGGAAGGGGCCTGCAGACAAGCCGGGATCGAGCTAGCGAGGGAGCGAGATGGAGAAGGAGGAGGAGGAGGAAGAGGCGGCGGCGCGCAGTGAGAGAGTTTGTGCGGTGAGGGCGGGGGTCCAGAGTTTACTTTCAGGTCCATATCTGACTCCCTAATGCTCCTTAGGGTGCCGAGACACACCAGTTGTGCCAGCGATAAATACAGAGCGTGTGGTCAGGGGGCGCTGGGGGGCGAAGGAGGAGGAGGGGGGAGGGACAGTCCCGGTCACTCTTTCTGCTTCTCCTCCTCTGTCTCTTCCCGCTTCTCCTCTTTTCCGCCCAGGCTGTCGGCCGCGGCCCCTCCGCCGCCCCCTGAGAGCGTGGACGTGAGATTAGATTCCTTTTTCCACTTCATCCGGCGGTTCTGGAACCAGATTTTGATCTGTCGCTCGGTCAGGCAGAGCGCGTTGGCGATCTCGATGCGCCGGCGCCGCGTTAGGTAGCGGTTGAAGTGAAATTCCTTCTCCAGTTCCAGGGTCTGGTACCGCGAGTAGATCTGGCGGCCGCGCCTCCGGTCCGCTCCGTAGCCAACCCCTGGAGATCCAGGCACAAAACACACTAAACACAATCAGCGAGGCGCCCTCCGCAGACAATTTAGCCCAGTCCAGTCCTGGCCCTCCCAACTGGGCCAGCAGCTCAGGGCCCCTGCAGCCTGCTCCCACTCGCCCTGCCCCACCCCCACTCGGGGTACAGCCAGGATCCCAACTTCAGTGCCCCCACCCTGTAGGGTGGTGGGTGTGTGTCCCACAGAATGGTGGCAGGGCGGGGGGCAAGAACCAGCCAGAAAGCTGTAAATCTAAAAGCTGGTTTTTGAAAAATCCTCAACCCTGGGGATGAGGGCCCTATTTCTCAACGACTGAACTCCCCCACCTCCCCAAGCACCCTAGCTCCTTGCAAACTTCTCCCCCGACTTTCTGCCCCCTCCTTTCCCCCTCCCTGCTCAGACTGACTCGACTCGACTTTGGGGGTTCCCCCACCCCTGCCTCCTCCCCTCACTCCCTGCCCTGTTTCTGCCGCCCCCCCCCCCCCCCACCAGCTCGCCTTGGAGCCCTCTAATCAGTCAGGGGCCGAGGGGGCCAGGCCCCTGCGAGCAAGCGGGAGGCGAGCAGAGGGGGCAGAAGAGGGGGCCCTGTCTCGGCGTCGGCGAGGAGACGAGCGTGATTGTTTTTATGGGGCCATAAAAAACTCTCTCCGCCCGTTCTTCTAGGGAAGCCGGTCATAAAGCCAGTTCAGTTTATTTAATTTATATCTCGGAGCTGTAAAACTCACCACTGTGCGAATTCATTCGCTGCATCCAGGGGTAAATCTGGATACTGGCTTTCTGGTCCTGGGGCGCAGTCCTGCCCTGCTCAGAACTAAAATCCTGAGCGATTGAGGTCTGTGTGTTATGTCCTAAGGTGTTTTGTCTGCAGTTTGAGAGCATGTCTTTCTCCTGGTAAAAGGAATTAGATCCATAGTCATACGGCCCCCGGCTGGAACTGAACACGACATTCTCCTGTGGCGAATAAAAGGGAGTCGAGTAGATCCGGTTCTGGGCAACAGCCGCTCCATAGGTCGAGAAATGCCTCACTGGATCATAGGCGGTGGAATTGAGGGCGACGTTGGGGAGGACGTCCTGGCCGCCGGCGAGGTGGCAGGATAAGGAAGGGTTAGTGAAGTAGGAATTCATCCCTTTGCCTTTACCTGGTCGGGCTATGATTTCTTTAATATTTATTTCTGTCTCCAGTTTGTACTCGGAACTAGATGGTTATAGGGACGGCTCCAATCCAGGACAGACAAAATGACAAAGTCAGCTGACCCCCTTCCAGCCAATCGCAAGCCAGATGTCAAGAAGGGGGAAAAAAATCGCTTCTGCTTCTGTTGATTCCCTAGTTGAGACTAAGTGTGTGCTTTGAAAGTAAGACTTGGATTTTTAAAATATATATACACGTAAGGGAGCTGATGTGGAGGTGAAGGAAGGGTGAATGTCCATGAGCAGGGCCTTGGGGCCCAGGGAAGGAGAGCTGCACTCGCTCAGCCCCAGCTAACTTTGCTGTGCAGTGGCCAGAGCCAGGCTGGGGAATCTCTGTATTTTCAATCCGATTTCATCGTTTATATCTGCTCTCTTCTAAAATTACATCTTGATTCCTCCATGGGAGGGGCTCCCTCCCAGCTGGGGGGGGGGTCCCCAGAAATCCTACAGGAAATCCTGGTTTGATATTCCACGAAGTGATTCCTCATCACCAAACCAGCATTTTTCCCCCAATAATTTTTTAAATCAAGAGTAAGAAGAAATTCATAAACATGATGCTCAGAGGAAGGAGGGTGTGGCTGAGAGTCTTGGATGTAGGGGGCATGAGGGGAGCAAGTAGGTCTCCAGGGGTAAGGGAGAGACTTCAGGGCAGTGGCAGATCTGAGGTGGGCAGAGGGGCCAGGCAACTGCTTTCCTCTTCCCCACCTCCCTCTGCCTCTTCCTCAGCACCCCCTTTTGGGGGAAACTCTGGCAGCATGTTTGCCTAAAAGGGAGAATGTATAAAAATACTATAGGAAAGGGAGGGAAAGAAGCAAAAGGTGAAAGAGAAAGAGAGAGAGCGAAAAGAAGGAGAAAGAACTCAGAGTCTTTCTACACATCAACTCCTGTTTATGTTGGTGAGAATTTATGATTTGGAGCCATTGAGGGCCGGTGGGGTAATTCACGTAAGATCCAGCCAGAAAGAGAAGGCTGGTGGAGCTTTGATGGACATTTAGGATCTTGCAAGCTCAAGCCCTTGCATATGTCAGAAGCCCCCTGCCCCCTCTGGGCTCTCTACCCTGCTAAGGGAGGCACCCTTGGACCTGAGCTCTGGGGCTTGGAGATTCCAGCAAAGTGCTCCTGGGGAGCTCTCACACGAGGGTCAGCCATACCTGTTGGGGCCCAGCCTCTCAGCAGCCCCTACCCCCCGCCCCCCTTTCTTTCCACCTTGAGGCTGAGAAAAAGGAAGAGAAGGTTAGGAAAAGGCAGCTGAGTCCGAGGTTTCTGAGGGAGCCGCAGTGGGCGAACTGAAGCAGCGGAAGGTGTGCAGATGGGGTTTTACTCCTGATTAATCCAAACTTAATTTGCTATCCTGACATAGGCTAAAACGACTTTGAGTTGACAAAGAAGGGGTGGTGGGCAAGTGAAGAGAGCAATGGAAGCTCATATTTTCCCCTCATCATTTTTTGGGGGGGGGGGAGGACTGGCTATAACAAGGACCCGGATGTTGCCAGATTTTATGATCTTTTCCTTCTGTGTAACAAAGCGGAGTAATCAATGGGTAGCAATAAAGCCATAAACGGGACTATGCTGGGAAAAAAACTCGTTTATTCATCTTCTGTAACGTTAAGGTTTCCCTGGAGTGTCGCTGGGGTGGGGGGATAAAGTTTTTGAACCCAAAAGCAGACAGTGTGTAGGAGCTGGTGGCGACAACATGTTAGTTAATACATGAAGCTCCTTACCGGGTTGAAGAGTCTTCCTGCCAAATAATTTGTGTTGGCTTTTGAAAATACAGGCTCAGTCCTTCAGAGAAGGGAATTTGCTGTTATTTAGAAGAGTAAGGGAAAGACCCCTTAATTACAAAGGTTCTTCCTCTTGGACCATACTTTCCTCTCCCCATGGAGATGAAGGTGAAAGGGTAGAGGAGGGTTCTTAAATTAAGAAGAAATTTTTAGATGAATCGTCTCATTTTGGGGTGACGTGACAGGTTCACAAACACAGACACTAGCGTGAATTGCTATCCCCTCCAGAATCCAGTTGTCCTCCAATTCATGGCATGCCTGAACAGAGGTTTCCAACAGCTGGCTGGGGCTCCAGGCCCCCTGGAGGGCAAAAGGGAGAGAGAGAAAGAGAAATAGGGGCGGGGAGACCCAGGGGGCTGAGCTAAGGAACAAGTCAGTGCACCCCTGGACAAGAGTAGCCGCTCTCAGAGTTCCCAGACTCATTTCTGCCCTAAGGGTAGTGGTGTAACACGTAGAACAGGCCAAAGAAAGAGTAAATTCCACCCCCCATTTCAGAAAGAGATTGCTAGAGGGATAAATCATGTCAGTGATATTTCCTGCAAGATATTAAATTGTTGCAATGTACAACAAATTGAATGATGGAAGATAGGACATCTTAATGAAGTTTTGCTTTCAATGAGTGTTGATTTTCTATGTATTTTTAAATCTCTTTTATGGGTGGGTGGGGGAAGGAAGGTCCTTGAAGGAAAGAAAGGGCTTCTGGGGAAACACGTACTGCAGCTCTTCAGCAAGGATGCCTGAGCTTCCTTGAGCCCCTACTAAACCAAGTCTAGAGGGGAAAGGGGCCCCAAAGTTGGGGAGAGTCTCCTTGGGCCTAGAGGCAGTGGGGGGGAGGGCCGACCTGAGGAAAATCTCAGCCCGGAAAGTTAAGTGTTTTATTACGTCCCTAAACAGAGGGCAGAGACTGAAAGGTCTCTCGGATTTATAATGAACAGAAACCAGCTGCTGGGGGGGCGGGGGCAGAAATGTTGGGAGGGGGAGAGAAGGGGAAGCAGAAACACAAATAATTTCCCCAAAGCTTAAAGACTTTCAGCAAAATTAATTTCCACCACATTCTACCCCCTCTCCTTCCGTTCCTGAGGAAAGAAGCTTCCTTCTTTCAGTTAGATCTTTAATTATGCAGCTGAAATTTGCTGGAAGGATTCGCTCCAAGGGGGGAGAGCAGGTCAGATGAGCCCGATCTTCCCTCCATTGGATTACATTTTCCTCTTCTCATTTTATGTTCATTTCTTTCTCTCTTTTTTTGGCAAAAGAACGACTGTCTATGGGGAGAAAGCTGGGACTTGGGTTTTTCTAAATATATTTCTATTTTCCTGTTAAATTTGTCTGAAAACAATTATGGAAACTCATCAACAGAAGCAAGAACAGATGTTTTATTAAAACTGCAGTTGAGCTCTGTAAATATGCACAAGTCCTAGGAAGGGGAGGGATAACTTGTTCTTTGTTTCTATAAAACAAGCCTGGAGAATCAGAGAACACCCCCCATCAGGCCCGCAGGTCTCGGAGTTGCTCTGCCCTTTCGGCCTCGGAAATCAGGCATTCCGAGGGGGTTTGGCAGCAAGAGCAGATTTTTGCTTTGGGAGGTGTAATTAGTGGATTCAAAAACAGAATTCAAACAACACAGAACAGGAATAAAGGGGGAAAGTTGCCGCTTGCTGCTCCAGCCCCCTCCCCAATCCAAAACACATGCTTTTCACAAGCACTAATTATAGGAGAGAAACTTACTGCAGGCATGCCATGAGCCTGAGTGGGGGGCAGTCGCTGGTCAGGAGTCCCCAAGGCTAAGGGTCTAATTGGAAGGTGGGCACTTGAGGGTTTCCCAAGGCTAGTCAAGCACTCCTACCCGGAGCCTCACCCTGCTCCAGGCCAGGGCCTGGGGGCCTGTGTGCCTCTGAAGGGGGAAGAGGGTGGGTGGAACTGGGCTCTGGCCGAGAAGGGATTCGTAGTCAGGCCTCACCTTGCTTGCCTTTGCTTTCCATTCGGCTCTGGGAAATATATTAATTTCTTAGGGAAGGGTATCTGAAGTGAGAGGGATGAGATCTGGAATTTTTACTTGGGAGCAATCTTTTCCAGAGGTCCTGCTAGTTTGTGTTCTGCCAGTTTTTTTTTCTCTCTCCCTAGATCCCCCAAGTCTGCGTGTGGATGTCTGTGACCCACCCAGTCTCGCATACAGATAGACACACTCCTTTCCTGGCTGCCTGCGCCACCAGCTACAGCTCGGCGCCTCGGAAGGCTGCTCAGGGACCCAACACTGGAGCCGCAGTACTCAGCGCTCGGCCTCGGCTGGGCTGGTGTTTAGCTGCCTGGAAGCCACCGCAGCTGCCCGACCCACCCGCCAAATCTTAATTTCCAGAGCTGGAAGGAGCTGTTGCCCGACCGGCCCCTTTTGTGCCACTGGGCAAGGGCTGAAATCCCTCTTGCAGAGAAAGCTGAGTTTCAGGACTTGTTCAGCTCACTTCACAATCGCACTGTTTGGTTAAGACTTTGCTGTTCTAAAGCAACTGACTATTCACTCGGCCCCAACTGGTCTATGATTAGCTTTTGTATTTAAAAAAAATTTTTTAAAATCCTACTCCAAATGCCCAGTGTTTTGTGCATGAACTCCTTTGATCTCCACAGAATCCAGACTAAAAGGATTGCAGAATCTCTCAGTCCACCACCAAAGAACCTGAACACAGGGAACTGGGTCTGCTTGGAGACATCAAAGAATAGCTCACTCTAGGAGCCCCCAGTTTCTCACAGATATGTGGGAGAAGTTGTCTGAGTACAGACCTCCCCATATACACATTGCATTCCCAAATATGCTCCTTCTCCTTTCAAAGTTCAGGCAGGGAGACACTTGGAGAAAAGTGAAATTTGACACACCCAACCCGGAAATGGATTCCATCAGGGGGTGCTGATATTATAAAGGGACCTGGCCCCAGCTGGCCAGCTGAATAAAATTGGGGGTCCACAGGGACGGGGGGAGAAGGAAGGGGCCAGATGGGGCATGTCAAGTGCCTGAGAACTGCCTCAGACACCTCGGAGGCCTGGGCTGGTGACTCCTCTTTCGAGTTAAGAGGTTTAGAGGCTGCCCAAGCTGCTTTTGTTTTATGTGTCATTAAACAGAGAAGAAAGGTACATGGAGGGGCTCTGCTAACACACATCATATTTTCTCTCCTCCCTCTCTCTTTCCAGATTTCTGCCTGACCTTTCATTACTACCACTCCACTTAATGCTGCTACCATCAGCAAGCATCAACTCCCACATCGGCGTTTGTTTGGCTTCTCAATTCACTTCTCTGGCTGAAGGTTAAAAAATAAAATAAGTCTCAAGTATATCTGTCCCATCATACTCAGTCTGAGGCCCTTGTGGGTTCCCTCTGAAAGAAATCATTTCTGGCTTTTGTGGCCTGGCCCCCAAGCGTCCCAGCTCTCTCCCAAGCGGCTGATATGAGCTGAGGAGGGGGCACAAAGAGAGCCTTCAAGAAAGGGGATGGAGCTCTGATCCTGAGGGGCATTTCAGGGAGGCAAAGCAAGTGGTTTGCTTGGTCCAGGAAGAAAAATGAAAATCCAAAATATTCAGAATATTTTTGGCCCCCAGAATGAGGCCAAAGGATTCCTGACCTCCTGGCTTCTCTTCTGTCCCTCCACACTGAGCGAATACGGCTTAGACCGATTTTGGAGGTTTATGAGAATTATAAAATTCAAGAGCGTGGCATTTATGACGTCACAGTGAGTTGTCATGAGGAAATTGTAAATGTCATATAAGTTATATACAACGGGAGCTTTGTGTGTGGGTGCCCTGCTTCCTCTCACTTGGTTTTCCTTTCCCCCTTCTTCCCCTTGTGTAAGTTCTTCCACTTGAAAATAAAATGTTTTTATGTTCTGGAACAATAAGCCAACAATGAAACATAGTCCTCATTTCCCTATAAATAATTTTATCCTTTATTGTTTGCAGATTTGAAAGAACCATTTAATCTGTGCTGGCAAAAAGAGGGAGAGAGATGGGGAGGGGGGAATTAATTTCAGAAAGGAGAATATTACTTACTTCAATGATATTCTTTTAGGTTTGATAGCCAGGAGCAAAATTAGAGGCAAACCGAGCCGCCTCTCTGACTCTACACCTGGCGGGATTGGAAATTTATAGGATCTTTAGCGAAGGGGCAATTTAATTTTGTAGGATTTGCTTAAATTCACTGCTATTTTGGGGGGCTGAGGAGAAGGGAGGGTGAGCGACATGCTTTATCTAGCTTTACGAATCTGCCAACATTACCCTGATTTAAAACCCAACAACCTGTGTCTCAGGGAAAACTCCTGCAAAAAGGAGGGGGGGAGAGGGGCTCAACTTTCTCAATGACTGTGGCCACCTTAACCAGGCAGTTGCCAGGGGGAAGGAAGAAAAGCTGGAGGCAAGGGGAGGGCTGCTCAAAGTCTCTCTACCACCAGGACACTGAAGGTTTATGGTGTCCCCATAATTCCCCCAACCCTATAAACAGCTGCCCTATTTTAGAACAATTTCTGCTTCCTCCCTTCAGAAAGAGAGGGAGGGAGGAGGTAAGAGCGGTAAGGGCTGGAGCGGGGTGCTGGAAAGGGGAGGGAGTCAGGATAGCACTGCACTTTGTCCTCCTGGGTGAGTTTGCTGGTTTGGCGGGTTTCAGACGCAGGGTGGCAGCAGACAAAACAAGTAAACAACTCCTCACAGACACAATAAACAGGGGCAGCTGCACCGCCGCCGTGGCAGAGGCCCTGGGCCAGGAGAGGGGCACAATTCGGGGGTAATGTCACACCGGCACCCAGGGGTGCCCAAGGCCTGAAAACCCAAGGCCGCTGTTGGTGCCAACGGAGAGAACGTGGAAGAAAGCTGCATGCCTCCGCACCCATAGCATGTTTGGACAGGAGAGTCTTGGTAGGAACCTGATCGCCTAGGAGGAGAGGAAAATGCCGCCAGCCCCTCTCCTGTCCTTACTTTCTTTTATGAGTTTTTTTTTAAGGACATTTCTATTTCCCCCTTGCTCTGTCTTTTCATGGCCCCATTGGGGAGAAAGGCTAGGAAAGGCGGCTGGGTAATTGCCTGCACTGGCCACACTCACTGCTCCAGGCCCACAGGGGCCAGACCCTCTGGCATTGCCCCATCAGCCTTCTCCCAGCTCACGTAGCAGACTGGATTAAAACAAAGTCCCATTAGTAACCAGATCTGGGTATTTTGGGAACTTAGAGAACCCCTAATCTGTCCCATAGACAGCGGAAACAGGCAAATCTTGGGACCGGTAAACAGACACAGTGAGCAAGGCTAGAGGATAGATGTTCACCACACTCCTACCCATTCTGGCAGGCCTCTCCAGTACCCTAGCCCACAGCTGCCCCAGGCCAGTACCCAGAGACCACCGTACCAACTTCACCGCCCCAGCAAGGCTTTAAGCATGAGGGCCTAGCCCATTGCTCCAAGCAAGGTCCACATACCCCACAGATTTTCCACAAAATTCACTTTCAACACAGCTGGGTTCCCCTGGTAAAACAGTATCTGAGTTGGGGAAGTTCAGGGGCAGGGTGGGAGGTGTAGAGAGAAAGCAGAAGAGATCAGTATTTCCCCAGCCCAGCTGCTGGGACAGCAAACGTATTAAGGTCTGAGAAAGCCTTTGTAGTATCTGTTGTTGATCGGAACCCGCATACTTCAATTGCAGCACGAACACGTACACATTGTACACATTTCAACAGAGCACGCACAGAGAGCCTTCTTGGTGCACCCAGTGTCTCACCTAGTGAGGGCTCATAAAATTTTGCATGCACATAAAATGGTGTTTGAGCGAATATAGGCATGGTAATATACAATTGACCAACGAGGAAATATGAGTCTGTATATATTCATTCAAAAGTCTGAGTCTGTACATTGGAGCCTGTATAAATGTGTATAAAGCTACCAAGGCTGGTTTTAGAACACAACAGCCAACCCAACAAGGCCGCCTTCTCCAAACAAGGTCGCATTCTTCACGGGGAATCACAACTGTCAAACCAGGGAGAGAAAGGGTTTGCTCTGCCCATTTCTTCCTAGCTAGGAACTGGTGCATGAAATACAGCCCATGCCAGGGCTGACAAAGCCTGTGAGGGGCAGGCCTGAAGTGCCCAAAGAGTGGACCCGGAGCTAAATATTGGGGGCTTGTGTTAGCATTGCCAGGCGCTAGCACACAGGTTCAGTGCCTCTGCCCAGCCCCAGCCCTTGGTTGCAGAGTCCTTGAGCCAGATTCTATTCTCAGCAGCCCAGGCTATTATTAGATAATCACCCGAGTACTCTCCTGCACTGAGGACCACGTCTACAGGGGATTTGCAAGGTGGTTGAGAGTTGCCACTGGTCGCCCCTCTTGTGCTTCTGTTTGAGCGCCAGAGAGGGGAAGAAGGAAAGGAATGAAAATCGAAAGTAAGGAGGGAAGGAAGGGGCTGGCGTTTGGGGCCGGCGTTTTCCCCTGGCCAGACTACAAAACTGGAAAACCAAGGCCCGTCGCTATGGCTATACTTTCTCTGCATCCTTCTGTCTCATCCGGAGCCTAGGGATGCAGGGCTTGGATGCCTACAGGACCCTCGTCAGGAAGAGACAGAAAATCAATTGATACAAATATTATACAAGGACATCTCAGGGTGGTGCTATTAACCCGTCAACCGGAACCCTAACACCCTGAAAGCTCACCAACAGCACATTCTGTTAGGTCCCCCCTGTCGCCTAGAGAAATACCCGCCCTTGCCCAGGCCCACCCCTCCAAAGGGAAGGGACCCCATGGTCCCAGTGGCCTTCTTTAGAAACCCCTTCCCCAGGGACAAACAAAGGCGACTCATGTGCCCCCCCCCCCCCCAGAGAGCATAGCCATCTGCAGGGGCGGGGGCAGATAAAATGCAGGCGAAAGAGAGAAATAGAGGCCTCACCGGTCGGCGGGTTCCCACATTACGACAGGAGAAAAGCTCCCATTTTCAGGCCTCCGGGGGCCCCTCCACGGGCCCACTGGCCTCCCCTTGCCCTTTTCAGGTCTCACAGACTCGGGATCTCGGTGGCCGTGGCCTGGCTCCCGGAGGCAGCCCCGGGCCGCGCCGGAGCGGCGGGAGAGCGGGGGGCAGCCGGAGCA